TAAAGTAAAATATAGGTACGTTTCAGTCTAAAATTGTATGTTGAATTGAATTTATTGGAGTATATCATTTCTGTTTTGAATATTGAAATTTAATAAATTGATTTATTTTAAATATGATATATTTCTTGAATAACAATATTGAAGAAAGAAGGATAATGTTCCGCAGTTGTGTGAATTATTTCAGCGGTTTTTTTTTTGATATTTATGTTTTCAGAAGTTATTAATAATGCATTTCAATATAAACGACTAGGGTGGAATCCATTACTTTAAAATATAAAATTTATTTGGGACTCAAGTAAGTCACGTTCAAAACGCACATCAAAAGTGTTATGAGAAGGGCCAGATTTCATGTTTTACACAAATAGAATCCAAATGTCATCGATATAAGGGTTTCTGGCCTGTCAATATGTATGAAAGCAGACGCGGATCGAATCCTAACGTTCGGAGATACAAACTTATTCATTCATGTTTATTTTACAAATGAAACCAGCTGGTGTTATTACATTTCTTGTTTTTCCTTCCAACATATCGGTTTTACACATTTGTGTTATTTATTGCAATAAATAGTAACATTATTATAAGTACATACTCTAGGAAGTTTTTCTATTACCTTTATACAGGGTGATTAATTAACAATGGGAAAATCGAAAGCTGAAGATACTACACGTGAAATTGTGACTATTGGCGCAAACATGCCTTATCCGAAAGTTGATAGTTTCGGAAATACAGGGTGTTGAAAGTTAAAATTTTAAATCGTTTTTTTACGATTATTCTGAAAATATGTAGGTTAGGAACTTGAAAATGTGTGAAACTATATTTTTTAGGCGACGAATAAGATGCGTGTTGTATTTTCAGCATTGCTCATAGAGGGCGCCACTTACGACCAATTTTACCGAAAACTTAGTTAATAACTTTTTACCCTGTATGTCTAACATGAAACTTGATTCAAAACCTGAGAAAGCAATCATTTTTCCATTAATTGTGTATTCTTGTTTCATTTGGGTATCTCGATCCGTTTTCGAGAAAAATCGATTTAACGAACACTATGTTTTGATAATACGAGAAAGTAATAGCGAAACAAACCAAGTGTTTCTTCGTGTTATTACAACAATTAACAATAAAACAAATTAAATTCGTAATAATGATTTAAAGTCAGTGTTCGAAGAATCCACCGTTGACATTTACACACTTTACACAACGTTTTCTGAGAGATCTTCGAGTTTGAAACAGCATATTGGGATTGCGTTTGACTTCGCTGGCAGCGATTTGTACTATTTGCTACAACTCTTCACACGAACCAATAGATTCTTCCAAATAGAAAAATGAAGAGGATTGTCGTCCGGACTTCTGGGTGGCCAAGTAATAATGCTTCCACGACTGGAAGAAGTTCCACTTTATTTAAGAAGAGACATGTGGTTCATGCACGACGGAGCTCCACCGCATTTTTCTTGGCCAGTGCGTGCATATTTAGATGCAGTTTTTCCAAATGACTGGATTGGCCATGTACGCATTTTTGCTTGGCCATCCAGAAGTCCGGACTTCGATCCTCTTGATTTTTCTATTTGGTCTCGAATGAAAGATATGGTTTACAAAGAATCTCGTGTGAAGAGTTGTGGCAAAGAATACAAATCGCTGCCAACGAAATCGGACGCAATCCCAATATGTTGTTTCAAACTCGAAGATCTCTCAGAAAACGTGTAAAGTGTATCAGTGTCAACGGTATAGATAAATTCTTCGAATACTGACTTGAAATCATTATTACGAATTTCATTTGTTTTATTGTTAATGGTTGTAATAACACGAAGAAATACTTGGTTTGTTTCGCTTTTAATTTCTCATAAAACATAGTGTTCGTTAAATCGATTTTTCTCGAAAACGGATCGAGATACCGAAATAAAACAAGAGTACATAATTAATGGAAAAATGATAGCTTTTTCAGGTTTTGAATCAAGTTTTATGTTAAATATACAGGGTAAAAAGTTATTAACTAAATTTTCGGTAAAAATGGTCGTAAGTGGCGCCCTGTATGAGCAATACTGAAATTACAACACGCATCTTATACGTCGCCTAAAAAAATATAGTTTCACACATTTTCAACTTCCTAACCTACATATTTTCAGAATAATAGCAAAAAAACGATTTAAAATTTTAACTTTCAACACCCTGTATTTCTGAAATTATCAACTTTCGGATAAGGCATGTTTGCGCCAATGGTCACCATTTCTCGTGTAGTATCTTCAGCTTTCGACTTTCCCATTGTTAATGAATCACCCTGGAGAGACCTATAACATTACCGACTTTTTTTTTAATAGGGCATTCTATATTTTATAGTATAAATAGTTCTTCGACTTCTAAAGTTGAATTCAGCGATATAAGGTTATACCTACTTTCTTATCATAGTGGTCAAAGAAATGTAAAAAATTGTCTTTTATGTCGTACTGACGACTATTTCAAACAGTCATTTAATACTATAAAGCTTTCTTTTCTCAAACAAAAACACATCGATAAACACATGAAATTCATTAGAGTACCTTAGGAATAACGTGAATACGATTAATAAAATAGATTTTAAGCTGGTATGATTTATATCACAGAGATGCGATACCATATTAAATAAGTTGCACATATTATATATAGGTGACTTAAATAAAAGATTAGTTCTTCTTCGCAAACAATAAAAAGTATCAGTATTTCTAGAATTATGCCTAGGAACATGAAAATCAATTTTACTCAGCAGCTCAGGACAATCAATTTGACCATTTAATAACTTATAGAGGAAAGTGACTGAGTTTAATTTTCTCCTCAAATCTAAACTTTGAAATCCAAATCTATCAGTCAGTTGCCTATATGGTGTACCTCTTTCAGGATAAGCATTATCTATCTTAAAACATAAATATTTGAGAAATTTTCTTTGCGGTTTTTCAAGTAACTCTCTATGGCATAAATAGAATGGATTCCAAACAGTAGAGCAGTATTCTAGTTTATTTCTAACGTACGAAAAATACAAAATAATGAGCGACGCGACATTAGTAAACGATTTACAGTTGCGAAGTATAAAACCGTAAGCCTTCATTGCATCATCGACCTTGGACACGATATGACATGAAAAAGATAATTCCTGATCGAAGATCACTCCCAAGTCTTTAATTTTAGTCAAACGATTAATTTTGATGTGATTAATTAAGTAACTATAACAATAAGGTGATTTCTTCTTTGTAAAGCTAATAATATTGCATTTCTTAGCATTTAGATATAAATCGTTCAAATTACACCAGGCTTCAATTTTTGCTATTTCTCCTTGAAGAACGACACAGTCATTTAAGGAGGTAATGTTAGAAAAAATTTTTAAATCATCAGCATACATTAGTTTCCGACAGTTCAGACTAGTTGTAAGGTCATTAACAAATAACAAAAATAACAGTGGACCCAAATTTGAACCTTGAGGTACTCCCGACTTCGCCAAATACTTGACAGAACCGTAACCATTATAAAAAACATATTGTTGTCTTTCGGATAAATATGATTGTAACAGTAAGACTGAATCAGAATTGAAACCAAAGCTATAAAGTTTTTGCAAAAGAATATTATGATTAATTCTGTCAAATGCCTTTGCAAAGTCGGTATATATAACATCGAACTGAACTCCACTGTCCACCGCTTCCAATGCATACTGAGAAAGAACGGCCAGATTGCTGGTTGTTGATCTCATTTTCATGAAACCATGCTGACATGGACATATTTGTTGAGAAACCAAAGAGTATGTCCTGTTATACAAAATGATTTCAAAAATCTTAGAAAAATTACAGAGGATAGAGATCGGTCTATAATTAGTGATATCAGCGCGATCGCCACTTTTGAATATAGGGCACACTTTCGCCTCTCTCCAACTTATAGGAAAAACTCCTGTTGTAACTGAAAGATTATATATTGCCAGTAAAGGAGCCATTAAAACTCTAACCATGTCTTTAACATTGGAGTGAAGTTATCCACACATTTCCAGCCACGATTTATGACACATGGTACATTGAAAGTGGGATAGATGGATCAGCAGATATGGGCGGGGCTAGATATGCGCATGCGCTGTATACGCAATAAGCGCATAATGTAATTAATTAATCATTCTATGATGAAATAAGAGATATAAAATACGTCAATATAATTACCTACCCAACTACCCCACCAAGGGAAATGATTGTAACCAGCACCAGATCCGGGTAGTACCCCTCTGAATTAATCAGATTAAGCTCAGCATTAACTATATAATCATTATAAGCTAATCCAGAACAACGCTTGATATATGCTCTCAGCTCTTTATATTCACGCAAAAACTCATGGCGACCAGTATTCCTAAAATGCTTAAAGCACCGTGCTTTCCTCTTAATACTCTTAATCATGTCAGCCGTGTACCAAGGCGGATATTTTCGTTTAAATACTTTAAATGTCGGAATAAAACTATTGAAGATAGTATAAATTTTGCCATAAAATAAATCAAGTGCAACATTAACATCAATTATATTTTCTAAAAATGACCAATCAATGTCCATCAATGCACCATACAATCCCGCAAAATCAGATTTTCTAAAGTTATAATTTGTCTTATCCTGACAAGTATTGACACCAAACTGCTTTTCACGCACAGCCAGATTAAAAAAGTTAAAAACTAATGCAGGATGGTACTGTGCATCTTCCGCAACCAACGGTGCATTATCCCTATTTATAATACATGTCAAATTAGTAAATGCAAGGTCAAGAATTCGACCATGCATATTCAGTACAGTATTTATCTGCTTAAGATCACACAGATTCATAAAATTAGTTATTGTGAAAGTCTGCTTGTTAGAGTTATTTCCAAGTATAAAATCACGGCAATTAAAGTCTCCAAAAATAACAATACTTCCATCAAGAGCTGATAGAAACTGTTCAAATTCATCAAAGAATAGCTCATAATCGCCAACACAAACATCAGGTGGAATATATATAACAATGACAATTATAGTTACCTGAGAGATAATACATTTACAACATGAAATGTCAATTGAATTAACAAGACCATCTAATTGCGGTGCTTCCACAACGTTAACTATGATATCGATTCTCACTGCCAGAAGAACACCACCACCATCACTTTTATCAACAAGATCTAATCGTCTATCCTTACGGTAAACATCATTTGCCACGAGAAATAATTCAAGATTGTTAATACCTGGATTTAAATACGTTTCACTAATAGCAACGACATCATAATCACCGAGAGATACAGCACTCTTGAACTTTGGATCGCAGGCTACGAACGTTCTGATAGTAAAGACACAGAGTATTGTGAGAGTGACTGCTGGGCAAGCTTAGTTTAAATTTGTGACTACTTTAGGAACTCCATTAATGTACCGGATTTTCAGATTTTTTTTTTCAGATAGCTAAACGTTCCAAAAGCTAAGCCTTTACCTTCTTATAGTTAGCTATTTGGCGAGGAGTTAACTATAAGAACTAAGTATTTTGGAAATTATATTTATGATTATAATTCTTACATTTATGAATATATTGTTTTGTTTGGCCAGTATACTGAGTGTAACGTAAATGTTGGGAATAAATTGGATTTTTTGGTTTAAAAAATAAATTTTTCTCATATGAAATTATGCTCTACGGTGCGTTAAAAAGATTAAAAAAATTTAATTTTTCTCCAATAACTTTCGAACATTATAAAATAATGAAGCGAAATTTTAGCCTTAGCTTAATTTGATAATCCCCTGGTAACAGGAAAAAGATTGACTTTGAAAGTTACTCATTGGCGTGCGTACGGATTGTACCGTAAGGTTTTTCGAAGAAAATTGTAGCACGCCACTGGTAAAAATATTTTTTTATGCTCCACATTTTATTTTAAACAGAATTACCCTCTTGTATTTTATTTCTAGCTCTTGTAATTTTTCCTTAAATAAAACTTTTGTAAATACCATTTTTTCCCACTACTAACAGAGGCAAATAAAAATATCAAAAATATTATGAAGTATGCTTTGACTCAGCCACCGAACATGGTCAAATAAGTATTGAAAAAAGCTTTTTGCGTCGAAAATGATATTAAAAACCTACATTTTTTGAAATTTTTTAGCGTCCTGTAGCTTGGAAAAGAAAACCCGAAGAGCATAACTTTATATGACAAATATTTATTTTTTAAAATAAAAAATCCACCGTTTAATTTATTCCCAACCTTTACGTTACACCCTGTATATTCCATTATAGTTATTGCAATTTATTTTATGAACAGTGAAAGTTGTGAAAATTACTTATTTACGTAACAAGTCCGGAAAATACTGTTTTTTTGGACGAGTTGACAAAATTCTAGGACGAGCCGTAGGCGAGTCCTGGAAGTCTGCGAGTTCAAAAAAACTGTTTTCGGACGTGTTGCGTACACTATTTTTACGGCAACCATGTAGAATAACAAATTAATGAGACACATTTCTTTATTATATTTTTTTGTAGAACAAAATTTCGAACATTTTAATTCTTATTTGTATTAAATATTGAAATTCGAACAGAAGATAGGTACTAACAGAAACATTCTAATTCTTATTTATATTAAGATTTATAGTAAAATTTGAGCAATTGCTAATATTGAAAGGGTTTAATTTGTTTGAAATGCTTAGTATATTTAAATTTCACTTCAGATAGCTGTCAGTCGTTATTTCGTTGCTATGGTAATGTTCAACTGCATTTATCAAAATCATACCTTCCAAGATTTTCATATTCACAATGACAACAACGATGTGATTCTTCCCGGCCTAGTCCGGGAAGTGCGTATTTCCCGGACTAGGCCGAAAAAATGCTACTTTCTCAAAGAAAAAGCGTCCGGGAAGTAGCCACTTCCCGGACGGTTGCCGAAAAAATTTATTTATTTTATTTATTTATTTATTTGATAGACCATTCAACAGAAAATATCCAATTACTGAATGGGTGGGAACACAATATGTAATATAAAAAATGAAAAATGACAGTAACAATTGGTAAAATAATTCTAAGACAAAAAAAAACTATAAATAAATTCAAAAATAATAAAAATAAAAGTTAATAAGTATTTTACATTAATTAAAATAACAGTAGTGTAAAACAGTCATATGCTTTAGTAAAATAGAATAAAATACGATAAATAATGCCCATAAAGACACAACGTAAAATGAATAACAAAACAAACAAAAGCCAATTAAAATAGGTTCGTTATTGATTTCATGTTACAAGAAAAAATGTCAATATTAAGTTAGACGCTGTTGTTGCAATTTTCACACATGACATAAATTGGTGATAACAATAATAAATTACTATTAGGCATTGGTACATCATATTCGAGTAGCGTAGATTGGCGCGAGGCACGTGGAAGTTAAAACGTTCCTAAATTTCAGGACAATCATACACATAATTAATGGTTTACACAAAAAAAAACATAATGCATATCTCGACGTGTCTCTAAGGACTTACAGTTAAATATGTCCAAAAGAATATTGTGGGAAAATCCAATTCCTTGAGTTCTGAAGTGCATATATTTTAAGAATTTTCTTTGAATGTTTTCTAAGTTATTTTTATAGACTGAGGATACCAAACTATTGAAGCATACTTCAAGCGAGATCTTACAAAACAATTATATAAATTTACTATTGTAGAAGGATCAGCAAAATCTCTATAATTTCTGATCATAAACCCAAGGCTTCTATAAGATGATGAAGAGACATTGCGTATGAGTTCATGAAAAGATAATTTTTGTCCAAACGTTACTCCCAAATCTTTTATATAATTGGGACAAGTAAGAGAGTGATTTTTAATCATAGATCACAGGACAAGTCATTCTAGAGAAGGACATTATATTGCATTTACTTATGTTATTCGAATACAGTTTTCTCTACACCATACAGTGGAGGAAAGTACCGGTGGTCTACCAGAAGTTACGTGAGAGCGATAAAGTAAGCCATAGAAATCCATGTGATAGACAAGGATGGCTATAATGAAGGCGTCTAATAGTCAACGCCCATTTCGCCCTTCCACAAATAAGAAGTGGATCTTATTTGTGGAAGGGCGAAATGGGCGTTGACTATTAGACGCCTTCATTATAGCCATCCTTGTCTATCACATGGATTTCTATGGCTTACTTTATCGCTCTCACGTAACTTCTGATAGACCATCGGTACTTTCCTACACTGTATACTCACTGATGTTAAATCATTTTGTAAGTTCTGACAATCATTTAAAGTATCAATCTAACAAATATTTTCATATCATCAGCGTAAAGTAAGAAATTAACATCTAAATATTTACTAATATCATTCAAAAAAATATTGAACAGTAGGGGTCCTAAAATGGAATCTTGAGGAACTGCAGACAATACATTTATGAGTTCAGATTTAAATCCCCTATATTGTACATACTGTACCTCCGACTTGTAAAGACACCACAGACGTCTAACCTTTCCAACAGAATACTATGATCTAACCTGTCGAATGCTTTAGAAAAATCTGTATCTATAACGTCGACTTGACCATGATTGTACAAAGTTCTAGAGATATAATCTGTAATGCACACAAGGTTTGTTGTAGTCGATCTACCTCTCATAAAACCATGCTGATTAATATCTATAATTCGTTTAACATGCTCATATAAATGATTATGTAAAATGATTTCTAATATTTTGCTAAAATTACATATAATTGTAATAGCATGATAGTTGGACATATCACTTTTATCGCCATTTTTAAAAACAGGTCGTATTCTCGATATTTTCCAAATGTCCGGGAAGGTTTTCATTTTTAAAATCAAATTAAAGATAACCCGCAATGGTCTTGCAAATACAACTGCACAGTCTCTCAGAAGAAAGACCGGAATTAGATCAGGCCCCATTGTAAAATTGGATTTTAATTCTTTTTATACTTCTAACAATATTTTGTTCCTCAACCTGGCTATTATGAATTAGCTGACTGTTAAGATGTCTGTATACGTTATTCAGAATATAAGAACTAGCAAAACATTGTTGTTCATTATTTAGTTCTTGACCATTAAAATTCATAGTGGCAGGATATCCTGAATCTTGATTTTTATTAGAAACATAAGACCAAAAATTATTAGGTTTTTCTTTTAGCTCTTGCTCAATTTTGCGGACAAAATTTCTGATCTAATCGCCTTAAATTGCTGATATATACCGGGCGTGCCTAAAGTATGGAATAAATTCAGTAAAAACGAAACAAATTTTTTTTAGGAAAAATCCTCGAACAGGTCGATTTTTAATTTAAAAAATACATATTTTAGCATAAAAGGCGATTTTCAACCGTCATTTGTTTTCGAGTAATGACATCATCGACATTTTTTTTTAAATAGCAACCCCTTATCTTTTTCCTGATTCTGAAAGATCGTTTCATTGTCGATCCGACACTATTAAAATGTTGCCATCTTACATAGGAAAGTTTTCGAGTAAATGACGATTGAATGTTAGAAAACTTAAATTTTATTCATTAAAAAAATAACAATTCCTATGTCAAGCAAATTCAATTCATTAAGTTTTCTACCTAATTAAGTGTTCGAATTGCCACCCACCGACTTCTTGACAATACGCAAGTCTGTGTAGAAATTGTTCTTACACATTATGAATTATTTCTGAGGTAACTCTGTGTATTTCATCTATAATACAATTTTCGAGTTCTTCTAATTTATTGGTCTATTAACGTACATTTTGGACTTTAAGTAGCCCCATAAGAAATAGTCCAGGGTGTAAGATCTGGGGATCTCACGGGACATTCTATTGGTCCTCGTATGCCGATCCACCTCCTAGGAAAACAATTGTCCAGAAAATCTCGAACAGGGCGCGCATAGTGCGAAGGAGCACCGTCTTGCTGAAACCATATGGTGTCATCAGGAATATCAGGGTCATTATCGTTAGGAAAAATTACTACAAGCACTGGAACAAGGTCATTTTGTAAAAACTCTAAATATCTTTCTCCTGTAAGGGTTCCTTCAAAGAAGAAAGGTCCTACTATTCTGTTGTCAACTATTCCAGCCCACACATTTAATTTCTGTGGGTGTTGGGTATGTGTCTCTGCCATCCAATGAGGATTCTCCCGACTCCAATACCTGCAAGTTTGACAGTTCACTGTACCATTGAGACAAAACCTGGCCTCATCTGAAAAAAGGA